GGGGGGGGGGGGGGGGGGGGGGGAGGAATTCTGGTATTGTAGTTAGGTGAGGAGATGTGGTCAGTAATGGTATTTTGATGTGTTACATGGGATGTTTGTTTTAGTCGTAATAGATGGAATGGCTGGTAGTGGTGAAGAGAGAAGATTAATAGGTTGAGCTTGAGTAAGCATAAGAGGTATAGAAACAAATTTTTTTTGTGGTGAGATGTAGATGTGATCAGATTTTTATAATGAAATTTCTTCTCATTAAACATATCTTTAGATATATAGATGTTTCCATCATTTGACAGACATTTATAGCCTATGAGAGTTGTAGAATAGCCTAGGAAGACACATTCTTGAGATCTATATTGAAGTTTGTTCCTATTATATGGTCTGAGGAAGGGAAAGCAAGCACAACCAAAAAATTCAAGTTGTTTATAATTAGGGAGCTGACCAAAAAGTTTGTGATAAGGTATATCAAACTGTAAAGTGGATGTGGGAAGTTTGTTGATAAGATAGACACTATTAGCAAAGGCATGGTCCCAAAACTTGAGAGGAAGGGATGCTTGAGCAAGGAGAGTAAGGCCAAGTTCAACAACATGCCTATGTTTTCTCTCAACAACATCATTTTGGTGATTTGTGTGAAGACACATAATCGTATGCTGAATTACATGTGCAACTAGGTAATTGGAAAAAGGTCCATCCTCTCCACCCCAATCAGTTTGAACATCTTTAATATTAGTTTGAAATTGTTTTTCATCAAGAAGTTGTAACTGTTTAAAGACATGCATTGTTTCAGATTTTTGTTCTAGAAAATAAAGCCATGTAAATCTGGTATATGCATCAACAAAGGCAACATATTAAGTGTATTCTCCTATGGAAGTAAAAGGAGCAGGGCCCCAAGGATCAAAATATATAAATTCTAATAGTTGAATATAATATAGATGGAAGTCTATGTGCTTTCCCAAGACAACAAGAAGAACATAATTCAATAGTATTTTTTATTTATTTGAGAAGATTCCAATGTTTGTATACAATATTTTGAACATGAAAGCTAGGATGACTAAGCCTAGAGTGCCGAATGGCTAAAATGAAGTAGGTAAAACTGTTGTTTTATGGAAGGATCAAGTATCATATGACCTGAAAAGGCAACAATGTTTGGAATAACTTTCGACAGAGATGGAAACTAATATAAGCCACCTAGACCAACGACTCCTCCGAGTAACACTTAATTGGTGGCCTGTAATTTCACCGAACTAAAGGTTGGGTGAAATTCAAAATAAATATGATTATTCTTACAAAACTGACTTACACTCAAAAGATTTTTAGTAGTTTGAGGCATAAATAGTAAATTCTTTAGGATAAGAGGAAATTAAAAGTTAACAAGTATAAAATTCTGTTTTTCATAAAATTAATTAATAAAAACAATAGAGTATTTTATTTTAGTTTGCTTAAATTGATTTATTAGATTAAGTTTGTTAAAATAAATCAAGAATGTATTTTATAATAATAAAAAATAGATAGGCTGGTTGGGTTTGAAGATTAAGTGATGGGTTTTGGATATGAGGAGCTCAACTCAAACACTTAACCTACCAGAGTTTAGGGAGTGAAGTTTGAATACACTTCAAAGAGAGTTTTCATATTATTTGACTTTTGAGAGAACATTATAGTGTGTTTGGATGGAGAATTTAAATGGAGTAATTTATTTATTTGAAGAATTTTAAATTCTTTAAGATAAAATATCTTGTTTGGATGAAGAATTTATAAGGAATTTGAAATTCAAGTAGTTGTGAAATTTCTTGAAATAGTAGAATTTCAAATTCTCTCAAAAAAGTAAAAATTTGAAATTTCTCATATTTTTCTTCTTCTTATTTCACTTATATATTTTATCTTATCTCTTATCTCTTCATGTTTTTAATTATTGAATATTCAAAAATATTTTTAAAATTATTAAATATTATCTAATATTAATTTTTAAAATTATTAAATATTTAAAAATTAACTAGTATTTATTTTTATAAAATTTAATTTAAAAATTCTCAACATATAAATATATTTTTAAAATCAATTTTATCATGATGGAATTAAACTATCATATCCAACCTAATAATTTAAAATTTGATAAATTTGAATTGACCTATCCAAATAAATTATTTTAAAAATGATAGAAATTAAAATCAAAATAATTTAAATATCAATAATTTAAAATTTTTTGAATTTGTAAAATTCCTCATT